AGTCGGTACCAACTTGATGACACCTAACAATAACAACAAGTAGAATGTCCACCCCTCTATTAACAGCCTTCTCTCTCACCTTCCATTCAAAGTTCCCAAAAGAAAATTTCTTGAGTCCCTTGCAGATTGGCTACCCTCAACATAATTTCTCTTGATAAAAATCATCAATAACCTTTTAGCTGCTAACTTCAATGGATATTTCCAGTCCTTACCTAACCTTATCTCTCTGCAGAATTTGTCACTGATGGATTGAAACCCAATTTGTCCCACAACTGAGGACATTGGGGCTGGGAAGTTAAGTGACTGGCCTAAGGATACAGAGGCATTTTATTTTTTCCCTCTGTATCATACCTCTTAATGTTCACCAAAGTTGTTATTCTCCCTCACTTCACCTTACCTGAAATTTCTTCTATGCTGTTTGCATGCATATCCAAAAGGACTGTTCCATTAATAAGGCAGCTTCGTAGCTCAAAGAGACTGTGCAACGAAAGGGTTGCCACATAAGGCTTGCTCCATCGTTCTCCACCATCCTCAACATCTTCTTCAAACTTCAGCCACCTGAAAGCATTACAAATAACTAGAGGCCACAGATAGAAAGTATTTTCAAGAGGATCTTTAATGTAATCCACAAAAAAAGGTATTGGAATATCATATTGAATACTAATCCATATTGTTATGGGGATTAGATTTAATCTATGTTCAGGGTACACTGAAAAGTTAAAAAAAAATCAGACCATAAAATAGTACAAGACTGAGTACAATGTGATTTCAGTTTTATTTAAAGAAATATGTAAAATACACATACATGTAGAAAACACTAAGATACTATGTTCCTCACTATCCCAGGAGCGTGGAATTATAGATCATTTTTCTTTTCTTTTTGCTTATTTTTATTTTCTAGCCTTTTATAATAAACATGGGCGTATGGTAAGCATTGTACAATAAGCAGTGGACTGCAAACCACAAGGTCAGCAGTTCAAGCCCACCGGCTTCTCTGTGGAAGAAAGACGAGACTTGCTGCTCCTGCAAAGATGTAGAGCCTCAGAAACCCTACAGGGTCACTATGACTCAGAATCAACTCAGAGGCACGTAACAGTAATAAACATGCATCACTAGTACAATTACAAAATAGATCTAACCTACAGCTTTTGGACACAATGACAAATAGCACAAATAAAATGATACCATTTTTTTTCCTTTTTAGAGAAAAGGAAAAAGGGCAACCACCATGTTCTGTGCAACCTTTAGAAATTCATAAAGGCAGAGAACAAGCCTAATTGCCCAATTTGACTGTTTAATCTTCTCTACCCATAGAAAGCATCCAGTGCTTTCTACCCATATAAAGATACAGTAGGTATCCTGGAAGAGCTGTTTCAATGAGAGCTGGATCCAGGTTAGCCCACCTTGGATCTAGTTACCTAACTTGCCTCCTTCCCCATGGCTCAGACATGCAGGCCTTGCAGCATCCTTAAAGTTGTTATTAGAAAGGGTCTGGTTAATCTGAGGACTTCAGGGGGTGGGGAGGGTATGAGCCTAAAATAAACATGCTTACTCTATGACTATCCCAGGAAGCCTATGACCAGGCTGGCTATAACCCCAAGAATCTCTATGAGGTTGAATTATCCCAAATGAAATTTAATTTCCTAAAGTTCTGAGACTTCTAGTGGATTAAAAATTCAAATGACCCTATGGTTCACCTGCAGGAAGTCTACAGCTATGCTATTTCTGCTAGTCCAAACCAAAGTGGCCCTGTAAAGGTGTCTTCTAAGCCAGAAAAACCTACAATGCCATGAGAGCCCATAACCTGTCCCCTGCCAAAATAAGAGCATCTTTTGAATGTCTCATGTTTATGCCACCAATTCCTGCTTATGCCACCAGTCCCAGATTCAAGGTCAGTAGACACAGGTGTGATTAGAGATATCACAATGAGGTCAACACCAAGACAGCCACAGGAAACTCTGGAAGGTAAATCCTCACGTCAGTCACCACTTCTCCCACACAGAAATTAAAGGCAAGAGACATATGTTAGCTCCAGTAGCAGGGAGAGCAATGTACAAGAATGCGGCAAGCAATACACAAGAAGAGGAAGGATGACAGATGAATAATGAAGATATGGGAAGACTCAGGGAGGTAGACATGGGCTAAACGAGACAGAGGTAAACAGTGATACATATACAACCTTGGAAGAACAATGTTCTGTGAGTACATACATAGACTGAAACACAGGCTGAATGGGTGAGGCAAAAAAGAGTTTATGTGAATAACTGCCTTCAGGATATTGGTGTCCCCTGCCTACTATTGTTAAAAAGACATTCATGTGGGATGGAAATGAATATTGGGAATTATGACTACAGAAAGCTTGTAAGCCCACCTTCAGCCTATAACTGATTGGATTTGCTAAAAGGGAGGTAGAATTTGCCCAGAGAAATAGGCTTCTGGTTAAGCCTTTATAGAGTATGGGACCTTAGGTGAAATCCTGAGCCCCAGCCAGAACCGTTGGAGTTGGGACATGTGCATTTGAAAAGACAAGCAGACCAACCCAGAACTG